AAGTTTGGTGGAATCCAAATTAAGTTATATGGGCCTCGGCATATCCAGTTCAGAAACTTTATTACAAATTCCACATCATTACTGATGCCTAATCTGTTCAAGTTTTCTAGGTATTCATTATTCAGATTTTGCAAGTCATATGTGCCCAGAAACTAACAGATATTTTCTACAGTTTTTGATTTATTGGAATACAGCTGTTTATAAAATTCCCTAGTGATCCTTTGTATTTCTGGGCCATCAGTTATAATATAATAATAATATCACCTGTTTTTCTTATTTTATTCACTGAATCTTCCCTCTTATTTACAAGGGGGATTTATCCCAGGAACACAAAGATGGCTCAATATATACAAATCTATAAATATAACACAGCACATCATCAAAGCGTGAGGAAAAAAACGTGATTAAGGCAAAGATGTAGAGATAATAGATGAAATTCAATGTCACTTCATACAAAAAACATAAACTGAGAAGTGACAGTGGAAAAATGAATTCAGCAAAGTGGCAAAAGGAAGCAAAATCAGAATACAAAACTAGTAGCACTGGTCTAAACCAATAATGAACTTACGAAAAAAAAATCATGAAAATGATTCCAAATAAAATATCCCCCAAAAGTACAATATCTAGGAATAAATTTAACCCAGAAAGTGAGAGAAGTCTACAGTGAAAATTACAAAATTCTGGTCCAGGAGAATGAAGAAGACTCAAGGGAAACAAAAGACACTCCCTGTTCATTTATTGAAAAAAAATTTTATGTTTACACAGTCCAAAGCAACCTATAGATTCAATTCAATGCATATCTAAATGTCAACGGCCTTCATCACATAACTAGAAAAACTAATTCTAAAGTTAATGTGAAAGTACAAAGACTCCACCTAGTCACAAAATCTTGAGGAAAAAAAAATGAAAAGCGGTAAAGATAAAATCTTATTTCACTTCAAAATATACTACATTGCCATAATAATCAAACAGCAATACTAGTAGCATAAAATAAGACCAACAGAACAGTGTAGAGGGTCCAGAAATAATCCTGTGCATGTATAGTCACTTCATGTTCAGCAAAACTGAAAAACATAAAAAGAAACAAAGAAACAGGTGAGTACCTTTAATCAATGGTGTTGGACAAACGATTTTCACATGCCCAAGTTTGGACATTAATCCCTCTCACCCGAGACAAAAAATTAATCAGAATGGTTGAAAGAGCTGAGTATGACTTAAAATTATGGAACTATGAGAACAAAACATGGGCGAAATACTTGTAGACACTGGTGAAGGTGTTTCTTTGTTTGTTTGTCTTGATAAGATACCAAAAACACATGAAAGATCACTGAAAGTAGACAAGAGGGGTTCTATCAAACTAAGAAGCTTCTGAATAGCAAATGAAACAGAGCAATAAACGGACAGCCCTATGGAATGGGAAACACATTTTAAACCATTCATCTAATAAATACTATTTTGTAGAGTGCATAAGGAACAAAATCTTTCCTGCTAAAGTAGGAGAGTTTTATTGGAGTGGGCATTTTTCAAAAGGTGAAATTCAAATGGCCAACAATTTATGAAAAAGAAAAGATCAACACCTTTAGCCATCTGGGAATTACAGGTTAAAATTACTGTGCGGTATCATCTCGCACCTGTTACAATGGCTCAAATGAAGAAGAAAAATAATCTCCTAAGCTGTCTACATAAGAAACCCAAAATATAAAGCAATTTTTAAATAAAAGGAAAACTAATCAATAGGAAATAGGGAAATATATTTTTGGAAAATGAGAAGGAAAGCTAGTGATGGAAGGGCCAGGAGAGGGAGGGAAAGGAAAAAAAAGAATTAGAGTATGCTGAATTCATGTAGCCACACCCTAGGATGAGTGCAAGCATATAGACTGTGTATGTGTACTATTAAAAAATTTAAAAAGACATAAAAACAATGCTGAACAGGATGTGGAGTAAAGGCAACTCTTTCATACTATTGGTGAGAATGTAAGTTAGGATAGCCATTAGGGAGAACAGCACGGAGCTTCTAAAGTAAAGTGAAAATAGAACTACTACGGAAGCCAGTTTCCCCACTCTGTGGCATATATTGAAAGAAAAGGAAATCACTATATCACAAAGACATTTGGCCACTCATATTTACTGAAGCACTTTTCGCAGTAATCAAGCAAGGGAAAGAACCTGAGTGTCCAGCAAATGGTACACACATGGTATGGTATCATTTAACCATGAAAAAGAATGCAATGCTAACATTTCTTACAACATAGCAGCAAATAGACACCTTTATGTTTCTGGAAACCAGTGGAAAGGACAAATTCTTACAATAGCTCTAGATTAAAGATAAAACATAAACATATAAAGAAATAATGGACACATCTTTTTATAAAAATATACTCCTAGGACATTGTTTTATATTAATTTATGATCATACTTTATTATTGAATGCTGTGTGATATATTTCTGGAGACTCAACTGTACTTTTATTCATGCATTGTCTCAAGGGCTTATGCTTAATAATTTCAGGATATTGTGTACTTGAGTGTTAACCAAGGCATGTTTGTGGCTTTCACTGTTTGGTGATATTGCATGACTTTTTATTCCATTAGGTTACTTTCCCAATGGAATATTTGGAGATTAATTAACAGATATGCAAGCTGCAATCCCTCAGGTAATTATGTGCAATTTGTTTATCCACGAATCACATTTAACCTTCAGCAGTATGAATCTCAAAGATGAAAAAGAAAATTTGAATGGGTTCTATAACACCCTGTCATAATTACGACAAGAGGAGGACAAAGCAGAGCTCCTGTAAAGTGAGTAGAAACATTCATCTTTAACAGTTTCTAAGAGCAAATACTTTAAAATGCGTATAACCAAGGATCTGGGAGGGGCTTCCAATGTGCAGAATTATTTCTTCCTTTGGAATACACTTGTCCTCCAAGGGACTATGAGTCAGGACAAACCTGCTGTTCACTTCTCAGTTCTGTGCTGTTCATTATTTACACCAGCTCAGTTTTTAGCCTTCCGTTATTTGCATCAGCCTACTGTTTCAGGCATTGGTTTTAACTAGGACTTTGTCTGACATTATTTTTCTGGTGTTTCTTTTATTCCATTCCCATTTCCCATCTCCTCAGAGTGTCCTTCATGGGGAGGTGGTCTGTTAGACTGCAGAGCTACATCCCCAGATATTTACTTATGTTTTCTAAAATTTATGTATTCATTTATTTACAAGACAGGGACTCACTGAGTAGCTAAGTTTCCCAGCCTGAGTGCAACCTTACAGTTAACCTGCCTCAGGCTCCCAAAGCACTGGGATTTCAGGAAGGGACCACCACATCAGTTTGAGATTATAATCTTTAGGTAGAATGACACTACTTGAACTCTCCTTTCACCACTAATAATCTAGGAGAACCTTGTTAAGTGACCCAGTCCTCTGAGCTTGTGTCTTTGCTTTTTAATGGGTAAGTTATTACTACCTCCTTCCTAGTGTGTTTTGTGGATCATATTAATATTTGTAAAATGCTTAAAAAATTGTCTGGTAATTAATGTAAAAAATTTAGTTGTTGAAACTCACTTGCATTCTTGTTTCTGTGGTGCCTTTTCTCATTGTTACCCATGAAGGGAGGGTAAAAGATGTATAATCACACTTCTTGGTCCAGTCCTTTCCTGTGGAAGGGGACTGTGTAAGATTGTTAGGAGTCATGATTCATCATGAAAAATGGACAGATGGAGCAAAATCAGATAAAGATATTAACAACATCCAAAATGGTCATATTAGTGTACTGGATTTTATGGTAAGTAAATAAATTGAGATGTATAGAAGCATATGTTCAACAGAGGTTTTCAAAGTCTTTCTAATCTTCTTTAAACAGATGTGATGATTCGCATTAAGGTAAGACATTCAATGTTTAGATGCAGATGTCTGTTCTAAAAGTTATGTGGACAAATGTAAAAAGCTAAATTAAAATATATAGTTCTTTTGATGTAGTAAAACAACTTGGGATCTCAAGAAGCATGTATTTAGTTCTTCTGGGGAAATACCAAGAAGGGGAATAGCTGGGTCAAATGGGACCTCTAGCTTTAGTTTTTTGAGGAATCTCCAAACTGATTTCCACAGTTGTTGCACCAGTCTGCACTCCCACCAGCAGTGGAGAAGTGTTCCTTTTTCCCCCAAAGCCCGGCCAGCATTTGTTATTGGTTGATTTCTTGATGATAGCCATTCTTTTGGGGGTGAGATGGAATCTCAGTGCTGTATTTATTTGCCCTTTGTATTTATCTGAGAAAAGCATATTCATCTCATAAGTGAAATAAATCAAATTCACATGTGTAAACACTGTATTATCTCCTTAGTGTAAGAAACTGAAAGAGTAAGATCCAAAATGTACAATATATATTGTGAAAGGGAAAGAAACTGCTCAAAAGGAAATAATAATTGGGAGGGAGGAAATGAGAAAAGAAGGTATAGATAGATAGAGAGATAGATAGATAGATAGATAGATAGATAGATAGATACAGATCTATTGATAAGTAGATAGATAGATGATAGATAGGTATATAAGGTAACTAAGATAATTGTACTACTAATTTCTATTAGTTCATTAAAAAGAATAGTTTGTGCTTATATTGTTTGATTAATTTTTCATACCTATATCTTGTAATCTAGCAACTACTTTGGAGATAAAAATACTCAATATATTAACCATTCTCTCCTATTATTGTGTTTGACATTCTGTATCATTGTTTTTATTATCTTTTTCTCTTTTAAATAAAGTTTAAAAAAATTAATAAAGAAGCATGTATCAGCATGAGAACAACCACTTTCAAATATCTGGCCACTTAAAGTTTCACTGAATATGAGAGCATAGCTCTGTGTGACTTTGGTCCGATAGGAAGCAGGCAGTCTACTTAGCATTTGAGACAAAGATATCTGTGTCAAATATACCATACTGCACATACTCTTAGGTGGCATTTCAAATATCATTTGTGTTGGTTTTATCCTTACACAGATTACCAAGATGAAGCATAAGGAGAAACTCAATTGTACCGCAGCGACTGAAGTTACTGAATTTATTATCTTGGGGATCACTGAAAACCCTCATCTCCAGCGGCCACTGTTTGGAATTTTTCTCATCATATACTCAGTCACAGTGGCGGGCAATCTGGGCATGGTCATCTTGACCCATTTGGACTCTAAATTATGCAACCCCATGTATTTTTTCCTTAGACACCTGTCAATAACTGATCTTGGTTACTCCACTGTCATTGGCCCAAAGATGATGGTAAATTTTGTAGTACTCAAAAATACCATTTCCTATAGTGGTTGTGCCGCCCAGCTGGCATTCTTTGAGATTTTCATCATTACTGAACTGTTCATCCTCTCAGCCATGGCCTACGATCGCTACGTAGCCATCTGCAAGCCTCTTATGTACATGGTCATCATGGCAGACAAAGTGTGTTGGGGTCTGGTTATTGTGCCCTACCTCTACAGCACCTTCGTGTCACTATTGCTCACAGTGAAGCTGTTCACGTTGTCCTTCTGTGGCTCCAACATCATCAGGTATTTTTACTGCGACTGTGTCCCTCTGATAGCCATGCTCTGCTCTGACACACGTGAGCTGGAACTGATCATCTTGATCTTCTCGGGCTGTAACTTGCTGTCCTCATTCCTGATTGTCCTCATATCTTACACGTTTATTCTTGTGGCCATTGTCAGAATGAACTCAACCGAAGGGAGGTACAAAGCCTTCTCCACATGCAGCTCCCATCTGACAGTGGTGGTGGTGTTCTATGGAACACTGTTGTTTATATACCTGCAGCCCAAATCCAGCCACACTTTTGATGTTGATAAATTGGCCTCTGTGTTTTATACCTTGGTGATCCCAATGCTGAATCCAATCATCTACAGCCTGCGCAACAAGGAAGTAAAAGATGCCCTAAAGAGAACCTTAATTCATTGATTCAGAATTCCCACCTAATTTTCAGTGTCAGTCTTTGCTTACTACTCCATCACTGCACTTTAGTATCAAAAAGTAGAAATATCTTATCTATTTGTTTTCTTTTTTATCAGGATGAAACACTTCTTATATGAAACCTTTCTTTTCCATCTAGATAGAATAAGTAAATATTATACTCAGGGAATACAAATCACAAGCAATATTCAAGATTATATAAGCTGGGGATTTAGCTCAGCAGCACAGTGCCTTCCTGGCAAGCATGAGGTGGTGAGTTTGGTTCCCGGTACAGGAAAAAAATAAAAACACAAAACAAAACAAAAAAAAGATTATATAGAAATTTTATTACTTACAAGTAAGAAAAATCATACAACGTTTGGGTTGAAATTAGACTGGCAGAGGTAAAATTCACTCTAGTTACTTACTCATTTTTATTTTATGGAAAAACATTCACGACAAAATAATAGGAGAATAACAGTAGTTAATATACTGCATAGTCTGATCTTCAAAGGAGTTACTAAGATTGTAAAATATTGGCATAAAAAATTCTCCAAGCGATATTAGCACAAACCTTTCTTTTCAATGAACTAAGATGACTAATTGTATACCTAACTTGTATATCTTTTTGCTTTTCCCTCCTTTCCTTTCCCTTTTCCCCTACCCTAATTCGCCTTTCCCTTTGAACAAGTTCTTCCCATTTTATAATATCTATTGCACAGTTTAGATCTTATTTGCTCTTTCAGTTTCTCATACCAGGAAGACTTTTCAATAGTTGAAATGGAGCAAAATCAATCATAGAATTAGTAAGAGGTAACTTACAGTAGTCCCTGGGTTCTAAAGGTACATAAATTGCACTATGAGGGATGTGTTGGTTACAGTGGATATAAATAATTAAATATCAGATTACAATTCAACACAAAAATATATCCAATAATTTAGTCTATGTATAAAATAAAGCACATCACCTCAGAATAAGTTCCAAATTAAGTTAATGTTTTTATATCTCAAAAGTAGGGGAAGGCATGTGCAAAAATTTTTTTAAGTAGATGAATGCAAAAAGAATGTTGGATAATTCTATATTTCATTTCACAGATTCTCATGCTGTAGTGAGCTGTGGATTTTGGTTGCTTCATGATGCACTTATTTATGATTGAAAACATCAAAATAAAACATAATCTGATCATGTACTAGAGTGACATTAGTTTTTTTTAATATATGTGGTGATTATTCAGATTAAAGGTAACTCAAACACTGAAGAGCTCATTGCATTTTTATTCCTGATTCTCTTTTGTACCCATCATGAGTTTAGGTACCTGGTGACATGGAGTGTGAGCTAACACAATGCTTCCTTCACAGTTTCAAACTTCTCCAGCCTGATGTTATGCAAGATCTTTGCAATGGATCCTTTAATTCATATCTCGTGGCTTCTGTATTCATATGAAGATATCATCTCTCTTGATGGAATTTCTCAAAAACTCCAAATGTTCTTCGTGGAGCAGCAGATAACCATTTTCACTTCAAGATGAAGGAGTCATAAATAAACAAAAAGTATTACCTTTCATAATTGCTATCATTTAGACCAAAATGTCCCCCAGAATTCTGATGTGTCTAAGGGTCAGACTTTTGGAAGGTGATTAGCTCAT